TGAGGCTCTTGATTATAGCAACACAGACAGACTAGCCCAAGGAGCATAGACTCTGAATCTAAAGCCTAGTTTCTCCTTAGAGTATCATCTTCCAGTCAACAACACTACTGCCCGCCGAGGCCTTCGTGACCCCAGTCTTCACCCCTTTCCGTAGTCAGTCTCTCACCGAAGGCGTTTGTGTCTACACCTGTAGGTTTTCCAAACAGACCCTCTTCTTAGTACCTGCCTTGGGTCACGACCTTGGTGACTGCCACGCCTACCATTTTAGCCTCACTAAATGGCCCCCATAAACAGTTCAGAGGCTGCAATACTTGGTTGGTAGAACTGTTTGGAAAGGATTAGGAGGCGTGGCCTTGTTGGAGGAAATGTGTCATGGAGGGTGGTCCTGGAGGTTTAAAAGCCTTATGCCACTATGAGTTAATCCCTCCTCTCTCTGCCTTGTTGTTGTTTCGAGATGTTTGAAGAGGCCTGTGCTGTGCATATGGCCTGGTGCAGGTGAGGGTCATGGGTTGTAAGGTGCATTATGAGAAGATCGATGTGCCCACAGCCCAAGGCCAGTGGCACCCCAAGATGCAATGCTATTCCCATGCTTGCCGGCCTCTATTGTGTCCCCCTAGGACATTACTTAGAAAGTAAAGGTAAATTATCTGAGTGTTACTAAATCTACCCCCTACTGCCATTTCTTAGGTTTATGTGACCTTAAACACATGGAAATTTCCTTAGGGTCGTCTAGTGGACTAGAGTATATGACCTATTGTCCCTTTCTCTCAGCCCATCCAGCCATCCACCCAGCCATCCAACAGTCACTCAATAACCACTGTGTAGATTCTACCATGCACTCAGGTCTAGGCTGAACCATTGGAGGGGATCTAGAAGGTGTACCTGATGTAGCCCCAGGGCCGGCCTTCTGGAAGTTTCTTGCCCATCTAGGAAAATAGACCTATGTGTAGTCTACAGATAACACTACCCTGATGCAACCATTTGTTATATTAGTCTTCCCGACTGCTGTTAATAGAGCAAAACGCCACAGGCCGGGTGTCTTAAATAAGCAGAAACGTATGTCTTCACAGCTCTGGTGCCAGCATGGTCAGGTTCTTCAGAGAGCTCAGACTCCTTGGCTTGCAGACAGCTGTCGACTCCTCTGTGCCCTCATATGACCAACAGAGGGACTGAGACAGCCCTGACCTCATTTTATAATCCCATCAGAAGGCTCTACTGGCGGTGTGACCTCACCTAAACCTAATTCTCTCCTCAGATCTCCGCCATTCAAATAGCATCTCTGCCACACTTACGCTTCCAGATGTGAATTACAGGAGCCATAATTCAGCTCATAGCATTTGTCATGGGCTAAACTGATAAAACCATCAACTTAATCCTCCCACCAGCTCCCTCCAGGCTGATTGCCCTGCTTTCACAGAGGAAAGGGCGGCTTAGAGAGGCTCAGGACCTGCTGGAAGCCACACAGCTGGAGACTGGCCCAGTGGGGTGTGATCCTGAGGCCACTGTATCCCCAGTAAACTTCTGCCCACTCTCTGGCTGCCCTTGTGAAAACCTCCCCTGCCTGGCGCTCCAGGAAGCACCCACACTGGGTAATGGCGATTCCCAGCGAAGTCCCGGCTTCTGAGCCCCTTCCTGGCCCAGCAAGGCCTTACGTGAGTTGACCAAGACAGCCCTTAAGCAGAAAAAGGTGCATCAGGAGAGATTTAGCAGAGAAGAGAACCCACTCGTCTACAGTCGCTGGAGCTGCCTGCCAAGCTGCGCGCTTCACACAAAAACGGCTTCAAAAAGAAAAGGCTATCAATGTTTAATGTTTCCACTCGCCAGGGTGGAGGACTCAACACGCGCTTCCCTCCCCTCCCCCTGCAGAGGAAAATGCAAGAAGCAGTTGCTTAGCGGCTGCCCTAGCCTCTCTTAGCTGTACAGTGGCATGCTGACTGACACTGAATGTACCCTGGGCTAGACCACACTCTAAGAAATCCCTCCATAGGCAGTACAGGAGAGCAAAGGGTGCCCCCATGCCAGGAAATCCCAAATGTATTCGTACATCTTCATACAACTATAATTACTAAGATTAAGTCGCTCTTTGTTTTCTGGATCATCTGTCTTCAAACATCACACTTGTCCAGTTCCCCAACTGGTGCTTTGCCGGGCATTTGGCTCCCGTTGGCTGTACCTGAGGCCACCCAGCATCTCCTAAGCATGGGCTGCCTAAAGGGGCTCAAAGGCCACATGAAGTCTTAGGTCCTCGAAGCTCTGCACGGAAAAAACCGACTCTGTGGAGACAGATGTCACTGAGTGGGGACAACAGTGGGTGTCAGCAAAACATTCAGCCATGGGTCGTCTGCCTTGATGAGCTTTGTGGAGAATGCCAAGCTGGGGACAGGGAGGGGAAGCAGAGTTAGGGAGGTTTACACTGGAGCTCTTGGGAAAGGGTAGGGGGCTATTGTGAAAGGACAGGTCAGCTGGAATTACTGGATTCAGGCAGCAGGTTCCAGTTTAGCCCGGTGGCCCTGTTTGTCAGATCTTCCCTGCTTAGTGCTGGCTCTGGACTGCTGTGGATTCCTCTTCCAGGAGACTTTAAAAGTTTCTCCCAGTGGACAAATTACTTTTTTATTTTTTTCAAGACAGAGAGACAAGGTTTCACTGTGTAGCCCTAACTGTCCTGGAACTCACTCTGAAGACTAGGCTGGCCTCAAAATCACAGAGATCTGCCTGCCTCTGCCTCCCAAGTGCTGGTATTAAAGGTGTGCACCACCACTGCCCGGCTGACAATGACTGTGTGTCTGAGTCTGTATGTCCCTATCTATAAAGGGGGAGTGACAGTTGTACCCACCCCATGGATTAGTGTGAAGATTAATGTGACAGCCCGCTTCTGTTGTCTACAAAGGAATCGCTGACAGGAGTGACTGAGGGTAGAAGAATTTCTTTGGCTCACAGTTGAAAGATTACAGTCCAGCATAGTAAGGATGCCGGCTTGGCAGCCAGGGCTCAGCAGCAACAGGAGCTTCGAGGCATAGCTTGTTACATCTCAGTATATCAGAAAGCAAAGAACTCACTGGAAGCAGAGCTCTTACCAAAGCTCTCAAGAACCCTCTTCCAGTGAGCTGCCAGCCCCCAGCCATGCCTCCCACACTTGAATTTATAACAGACCATGCTGTGGAATAATCCTGTACACTGTGAAGATTTGTTGCTCATTGTTAACAAAAAAAAAAAACTGATTGGCTGATGGCTATGCAGGATTTTCGGGGCAGAGAGAATGCTGGGATGAAGAAGGGTGCAGTCTGAGGAGTCACCAGGAAACAAAGAGGGAACAAGGCATGTTGGAGGACAGGTAAAGCCAAGCCACGAGCCGTGTGGCAATACATAGATTAATAGAAATGGGTTAATTTAAGCTGCAAGAGCTAGCTAGTAACAAGCCTGAGCTATCAGCAAGCATTTATAGTTAACATTGAGTCTCCATGTCTGTTATTTGGGAATTGGAGAGCAGGAAAGAAAAGTTCACCTACAATACCAACCTGAAGGCCGGTCTCCAGGAGAGGGCCACAAAGTAACTACAATCACTTTTATCAATAGGGTCAGCACTCTGTGGTTTTCACGTCTGAATGGTTCTCCACACCTGGTTAGAGCCTTCCTAAAACCGTCATAAACCTGATCCTGGGATTCTGAGGTGCAACACCCTGCCCAACTCAGGAGTTCTAGTTCCAGTCATGCGTCAGCCTCATGGGTTCACCCAAAAGGGGCCCCTGCTGAGCTGGGACAGAGGAAGATGGCAGAACCTCAGGAGCTGAACTAGGAAACTCATGGTCCTTAGACAGAGCTCCCAAACTCCCCCACATACACTCTGTCCGTATCCAGCTTGTTTCCCGTCATTCACCTATGAATCAACCTCCTACTGTTTGAAAGTGAAATGGCTTGGAGACATAAACCAGCTGGTAGAGTGCTTACCTGGCATGCACAAGGCCCTGGCTTGAGCGTCAACCACTCAACTGGCATGGTGACACGTGCCAGTTACCCCAGCCCTTGGGAGGCAGAGACAAAGAGGACTCCTTGGCTACACAGTAAGTTTGAGGCTAGCCTAGGCTACATGAGAGTGTCAAGAAAGAAAAGCAGTGAGGGGAGCATAATAGAAAACCTTTCTCTCCTGCCTCTGCCAAGGAACGAAACTGAAAACAGTGCAAAGAAATGGCTTCAGTCTAGTTCATGGCCTCTTCGCCCACTAGTCTGTTCTTGTGCTGCAGACAGCTGGGTGCCAACGGCAGAGAGGTGCAGGGACTGGTCAGCCCCAGCGGCTCCTCTGGTCCCAGCTGCAGATGATGGTAGAAAAAGAAGCAAACTTCTCAAGCTGGGCTCAGGCCAGTTGGAGGTGGCTGCAGGAGGAGGATGAGGTAAGACTTGCCACTACAGTGCTTGCTTGGTGGGTGAACACTGTAGGAGTTTCTTCTGGTGTCTTCCAGACAGTTTCCTGTGTTCTTCATGTCTACTGGTGTTGGTGACTGCCTTGGCAGCGTGAGACAGGAAAGTTGTGAGGCCAGTGACCCATGGGGTCCCCTACCCTTACACGGTAATGCCGTATGGTCCTGAGTACCCACACATCTAGTGAACCTGTTGCCCACACACACTCGCACACACACCCCAAGTCTGCTCTGTAGACCTCTCAAGCCACTATCTAGTGCTTTCTCCCTCACCCTGGGGGGGGAGGATATTTCTAGCCCCCAGATGGGAGAAAAGCCCTGAAACTTGAGCAGAAGGTATCCTCAGTGACACGCCTAGGGGCAAGCATTAATAGAAGCCTCCCTCAGGCCGCTGACGCGCCTGGGCAGCTGCTCCAAAGGCCCAGTGTCTCTCAGTCCCAAGGCCAGCCCACTCTGGCTCAGCCAGGCACACTAAACTTAGCTTCCACTCCCAACTCCATAGCCGCTGCCACCGGCTAGCCAGCTGTCACCTTTCCCTGGGAGACCCTGCTGCCCCCTGCCCAGAGCACCCACACCTCAGCCACCATCATGTCACAGACCAAAACCCTGAAGGTACGTGTGACCCTCTTCTTCATCCTGGTGGGAGGAGTGCTGGCCATGGTGGCTGTGGTGACCGACCACTGGGCCTTGCTGAGCCCACACCTGGAGCACCATAACGAGACTTGCGAGGCGGCCCACTTTGGCCTCTGGAGGATCTGCACCACGCGCGTCGCTGTGCGTGACAAAGAAGACAAAAACTGCGAACGCATTACGCTGTCGGGAGGTAAGTTCCCCGTTCTCCCTCTTTCCATCTCTCGTCCTTCCAAGACCCCAAGATAAGTTGCCTGCGCAAACAGAGCTGTTGCCAGTCTTTCCAGCACGGGAACAGATGGGAGTGACCTGGGGTAATTTTTACTGCTAGAACTAAGGTGGAAGATGAGGGTGTTTGTGTCCAGGTCCATCTTGTGAGGCCTGGGCTCTTGATGCAGTGCAGGTTGCTAGAGTTAAGAGATTCCCGAAACTGCTGGTCTACCAGACCCGGGACTTCTGGCTCCAGCGGCGGATGCTCAGAGTTGATACTCAGAGGCATCTCGGATCCATTCTCTCCCTGTACGGACAAGCTGGTGACCCTAACACCTCAGGCTGGAAGGAACGTGTGGGGCAGGCTGGCGCCTTCCTCAACCTCTTAGCAAAAGTACAGATAAGACTACCACCTAGTCTGTCGAGCCCTACAAATAGGATACACCAGGTTCCTTCTTCTTAGGTACTGAGAACTTCACGTGGCTAACGGCAGAGCATGAAACTAAGCGGGGGTACTCGGGGGTCAGGGTGCTGGGGAAGGCGGCTGCATGGCTGTGAAGCAAATGTGGTATGGATGCCTTCTTAGGGCCTGTGGTCCTATGACGGGTTCTCCCTTAGTCCCCATCACTCAGATCCTCAGGGTTCCCTTCCATAGCGGTTGTTGCGATTCTTCCATTCCCTACCCACAGCTTGCAAGTTCCTGGCCTGGGAGCTCAGGCATTGGTGTGATGTGTCTCTATCTTGTCAGTGTAGAGCCCCCGGGATTTGGAGCAAGCAGACGATACATGATGGGAAAGAACATGCCAGGGAGAAAAGAGGCCCAGGCTCTTGCCGTCATTACCCACTGCCTTTTACCCATTACACCGTTAACCATTAAAGGACTTTTTCTTGTTGACATAGCATCTTGAGCTAGCTGTCTAGTCGGTTTATAGAATGCTGGGGATGGAACCCAGTGACTACTAGGCAAAGGTTCTACCATCTGAGCTACGCCCTTAGCCCTGTGAAGGGCTCTTCAGACAGGACAGCGCCCATCTCAGCCCCTGCTTCGCCTGTCTGAAACAGTAGGATCACTTCTAGAGCTCACAGCGTCTCCAAGGCCTCTGTGGACCACAGCATGTGTGGCTCCCATCCTGATGCTCAGAATGACTCCTTCCATGTCCTGCCTCACGCTTGCCACTCGAGTGGTCAGTCCTAGGTCTCAAATCCTCAGCAGTCTGCATGTGGAGTAAAGAGCTCACCCTCCTTCTCTTCTCCTCCCTCTTCCTTAGCTCTTGCTTCGGGGAAAACCTGGGCGGGTGTCACTCATCATTGCTGGGGAACCAGAGATTTGTAACCACTCAGCTGTCTTGGAAACACAGAGTCTCGGGGTGGCGGGCCTGATGAGCAGGAACATGTGCTTGGAGGCTATCAGTCGCATAGCCTGATGCCCACACCCCTTGGCTACTCTCCACACTTGTAAACAGGTGTATCCTCCGCCAACTCCCCGGGCAGAGCAGGGCAGGGCAGGGCGAGGCAGGGCGAGGCAGCTTCTCCAGGGACCGTGTGTGTGGAGGGACACTGTGGTTCTGTCCACCTGTCCTTCGAGCCTGTGCCTTTTAAAGTCAGAGCAGATGAGCCAGGTCTGTGCGGAGACAAGCTGATGAGAACACCAGCCTCAGGGGACTGACAGGCAAGGCTTGGCCTGGGGCCTAAGCGGAGTCTGTTTGTCTGCCTTCTCGCCCCATCAGCTGTGAATCATACTGCCCACACTTGTGACACAGAACCTGACCTCCCCCAGCTGTCCTCTCGATGCTGCTCCTGCATTCAAGCAGACATCATTTTCCTTCCCCGTCCACCTTTTCTGTGCTCCCCGGGAACTATCTTTTCTGAAAGAGGGTTCACACAGAGCCCTCTCACTTATCAGCAACTATAATAATAAGGCAGAGTCATGTAGGGAGCTGTGTATTAACTCTGGGTGATATGAGAAAGAAAAACTGAGGGAGAAACAACCCCTCCCCCGCTGCGTCTTCGCCCTCGGTGATGACAATGACGATGCTGGGAATGGGGGAAAGATTCTTTATTTTTCAGAACTCTGGAAATTAGCCTAAATCTTAGAACAACCTGGCAAGTGCTTATTCAAGAAAAGCAGGAGACTTGAGAGAAGTAACTAAATTTTTGTTTGGTTAGTTGGTTGTTTTTTTTTTTTTTCAAGATAGGGTTTCTCTGTGTAGCACTGGCTGTCCTGGAACTTGTTCTGTAAACCAGGCTGGCCTCGAACTCACAGAGATCCGCCTGCCTCTGCTTCCTGAGTGTTGGGATTGAAGCTGTGCACCACCCCTGCCCGTGGAAACAGTGAGTTTTAGGGTACTTTAATTTCCTCTCTTCTGTTGTGTGCCTGGAAGCTACTTCCTCAGTAAAACAAAGGAAAACCAAGAACCTGTCTGGCTGACTGTAGAGACAGAATAAGGTTGGACCCTTACAGAGTCCCTCTCCTGTTGTTAACTGCATTTTTGTCCTTTTGCAAAAGTCCTTAATTGCAAAACTGTGACTGGGGGATGAATGGGCTCCTTGCTTGTTAGAATATCTCTGTTAACTGATGGTCAACCCAAGAGAGCAGAGGTTTCATGCTTAAGAATATAGACATCACAAGATTAGCTCAAACACAGCAACAGGAACAAGCCTCAGGAAGGAGAGCCAGGTTTCCCAAATTGCCTTGTTGTGTACATATTTAAAAACTACCAGCCATTGAGTACACCCCTTTGACCCCCACCCTGGAGAGGATATCTGTGTCTTTCAGGACAGCCTGATCTTCATAGGGAGTTTAGTGAGACCCTTTCTCAAAAGCAAACAAGAAAAAAAAAAAAAACAGAAAACAAACTATGCAGAGTACTAAGATGACGTGGATAATATATGAAGATAATATGTGAAGAGGAAATCCACAAACTGGAATGAGCCTTTGGAATGTCTAGATGTGGACAAAGACTTTATTACATTTATTTGTTTGCTGTTTTGTTTCTGGAGGCGTGTCGGAGGATGACTTGAGGAAGTCACTTCTCTCCTACTACCACGTGGGTTCTGGAGACCATACACAAATCATCAGGTTGCTGGCCAGTGTCTGCTAAGGCAGCTCACCAGCCCCAGTTAGACAAAGACTTTAAATTAGCAGTTTCAAATGTGTTCTGAGAACTGAAAGAAACCATATCTAAAGAATGGCAGAGGAGGAGGGTGCCCTCATGAAATAGATACCAATCAAGAGGCAGAAATTAGTTTTTAAACATCAAATAGAAACCCTTTTGAGAAGGACAATGATTAAAGTAGAAAGTTCACTAGAGGGACTCAAAGCCCGGCCTGAGCAAGCAAATGAAAAAGTCTATGAGCTTTAAAAAATGCTCATGGAGATTCTCCAGGCAGAGTAACAGGAAGGGGGAAAGGGGCAACGGCTCAGACACATGTGAGACACCATCATATACGTCACGGGAGTCTCTGGAAGAACAGAGGGGAAAAGGAGGAAAAACTCTTTGGGAAAGATAATGGCTAAATCTTCCCACGCTGGATGAAAAACATGAACCTACAAATCCATGAAGTTCAATGAATTCTAGGGAGTATAAACTTGGAGAAATCTAGACCTACATACATCATATCCAACCTGGTGAAAGATACAGAGAATGCTAAAAACAGAAAGGAAGCCATGGTTATGACGACTTTGATTTGTCTACTTGACACAGCTTAGAATTACCTGAGAGAGAGCCTCAAAGAGGAATCATCTATACTAGGTTGGTGTGTGACGTGCCTATGAAAGGCGCATTACTTTATCGCTCTCTGTTCTTGACTATGGGTGTAACGAGCTGTTTCAAATCCCTGCTTTTCCAACTTCCCTACTATGACCCAGAACTCTGAGCCAACCCAATTTTCCCAGCAACAGAAAAAGGAAACTGTCTCAGGTTGTTTCTCTATTGCTATGACAAAACACTAACCAAGAACAGCTCTGGGAGGAAAGGGTTTATTTCAGCGTCCAGTTACGATCTCTCATGGAGAGAAGCCAGGACAGGCACTCAAGGCAACAACACAGAAGCAGGAAGTGAGCAGAGGCCACGGAAAAGGATGCTGCCTTCTGGCTTGATCTCCGTGGCTTGCTCGCTTGCTTTCCCATACAACCCAGGACCACATGCCCAGGGCGGGACTACCCACAGTAGACTGTGCCCTGTCACATCCAACATTAACCAAGACAATTCTCCTGGAGCCAGAGTTGGAAGAAGATACTTCACAGACATGCTCACAGGCCAATCTAATGGAGGCATTTTCTCAGTCGAGAGTCTCTCTTCCTAGGTGGCCCTAGCTTGTATCAAGTTAGATAAAACTGACCAGCACAACCACTTATCACACACATGAAATTCCTTTTATTATTATTATTTTACATGTATTGGTGTTTTGCCTGCATGAATGTCTGTGTGAGGGTGTCAGGTCTTGAAGTTACTGACAGTTGTGAACTGCCATACAGATTCTGGGAATTGAGCCCTGATCCTTTGGAAGAGCAGCCAGTGCTCTTAACCACTGAGCCGTCTCTCTAACCCCTCATGAGTTTCTTAATAAGATAAACAGATTCTTTTTCCCAGACACCATAGAAGCCTGGAGATCATGGGAGGCCATACATATGCAGCTGTATCCCATACATCAATATTTTGGTCAACGATGGAGCCTATTAAAAGGAATGACCTTGTGGGACTATACCACATGGTGATGTCATAGCTAACCTAGTTGGTGTTTGTACACTCACTCCATAACATTTACACAATGACAAGGTTGCCTATGCAACACACAATTACACCAGCTCATCTAATCTCACAGAAACTTGCAGAAGACCCATACATTCATCTTCATTCCACATCACAGATAAGGAAAATGAAGCTCAGAGGAGACAGATAATTTCAGTGTGGCTATGTGATTGACAAGCAAGAATTTGTCCCTAGACTTTTGCCTATTATGTTCACTTTCTTAATTACTGTATCATAGAGGTTTTTGTTCTACAAATGGTTTTCACTTGACAAGGAGGAACACTAAAGGTAGCATGGCCTTCCCCAGGCTAGCTACCTAACAAGGAGAGGTTCAACACCCAGGTCTTAAATCCATAGCTCCCTTGCTTTCCAGAACCATCCCATAACGTCCGATGTACATACACAACTCCTAAAGCCTTCTGACTCAAGAGGCCACAAGGAGTCCCATGTAGGATAAGACATGGTCAGAGACAGCCAGACCGAGAGCTGATACAAGGCAGTTTCACTAGAACTCTTTCTGCCATGATGTGTTGGAGGTTCCTCACAGGGTGGGCAGGATAAGATGTCTCGTGTGAGTTCTCCACTGTCCACAAAGAGCAAGAGAAATTCTGATCTGTACAAAATCAGCACCGAAGCTTGGTTCCAATGCCTCCTGAGCGAAAGGAGAGGCTTCCCCAGTTTCCAGGGGAGATCATGGATCAGCTGGGAAGCCCCAGAAGGACCATTCCCTGCCCTTGTTTCTTTCAAGTTCTGCCTCTCTAGGGTAGCCCCAGCAGCCCGTTTCTCTACACACACATCTCTCCTCTGTAGTAATATGGGGCGGCGGGGCTGCCTCCCCAACACCCCAGCCGCCTGCCCGGCTAGCTTATGCCCGAAATAACAACACACAAACTGTATTCTTTTAATCACTGCTTGGCCCATTTCGATCTAGCCTCTTCTAGGCTAATTCTCACATATTAATTTAGCCCATTTCTAATCATCTGTGTTGCGCCCCTAGGTGCGCTTACCGGGAAGATTCTAGCCTATGTCCATCCTGGGTCGGAGCTTCATAGCGTGCGTCTGCCCAGGAGCCAGGAGCATGGCGTCTCTCTCAGGCGTCTGCTCCCAAGAGGAGAACTATCGAGACTGAGCTCACTTCCTCTTCCTCCCAGCGTTCTGTTCTGTTTACCCCTCCCACCTATCCTCTAACCAATAAAATGGGCCACAATGTAGACAAGGCTGGCCAGGATCTCACAGAGATCTGCCTGTCTCTGTCTGCCCATTTGTGTATGTCATCACACCTGGCTGTGTGTATTTTTAAGAAATAGCCCGGTTCACATTTTTACACCACTGAGTTTTGTAGAAAAAGAAATCTCAGAATCATTATAAGCCAGTTTCAGAGACAAAAGAGATGACAATGACCTCAGACCCCCGATCACAGTCCTGGATCCTCTTGGAACTGGACCTCTGTTTACTTGGTCTAAATCAGTGTCTGTGTCTGCACAGCAAGGGGACAAGGCTCATCAAATCAGAGTGTGAGCCCCTGAACCTATACAAAGGTGTTATACCTGGTATTGGAGACAAGAAATGACGTCGGAGAGGCAGAAGCAGGAGAGTTCGGAATCTGTATTGTACACAGGACTGTCCCTATCATCCTACCTGTGAACAAATGGCCCACTTAGGGCCTGCTTCAGATGGTGTGTGTGTGTGTGTGTGTGTGTGTGTGTGTGTGCAAGTTCACATGACAGTCAAAGGGCTGCACACGGTGTCTCCGTTAGTCTCCACATTATTGTTTGAGCCACGGTCTCTCACTGAGCCTGGGAGCTCACCAGTTTAGCTAGTCTGACTGTCTGACAGCCCTGGAAATCCACTTGTCTCTGACCCTCCAGCTTGGCATCACAAGGGCAGGTCACCAACTGCACCACTACCCCAGCCCTGAAGGTGCTGAGGATGGGACTCAGGTCCTCATGCGCAAGCACTTTGCCGACTTAGCCATCTGGTTTAGACTCTTTTAATGCTGAGTTTCCCAAACACTACCATCCATCAATGCGGCAAAGGTGTGAAAAACTAAGTCACGTGAGGCATGCCCATCTGTGGGCCCCTGTGCTGTCCTCTAAAGGTGCTGGCTTGGTTGGTTCTGAATGAGACTGATGTCTGGTGTGGTTGCTCCATCTTTGGAGCCCACAGGGACTCTGAAGGGATTTGTGTTCTCCCCCAGGAAGCCCTCTGAAAGCCAAGTACGTGGGCCTTCTTTGTGTGCCAAGCTCAAGAGAGAAGACAGGTCAACCTGTCTGTCCTCTGGTGCAAAGTTGAGGATATTGGGGAGAAACTGAGGCTTCCAGTAGTCCTAATGCTCCCTATCCCATCATCCACATGTGAGAGTGTTGAATGGAGGAGGAGGAAGAGACGTTTCGTATACTAACCAAGGGAAAGAGTCATCCCAGGGACACCTGCCTCACCCCCAAGGTATGCAGGCTATTCTAGTGCACCTGGATTCAGACTTCTCTGTCCTGATATCCAGAATGTCTGTCTGTACATCACTGTCCACCCTGAGTGGGGCCTGGCATTTATCTGACGGCAACTGACTTCCCGACATGCCATGCAAGAGTTGCCTCTGCAACCCAGAAGGGTCAATCATCCGTGGTCACCATCTCTCCAGGCTGCCTGTACCTCCCAGTCCTCACTCTGAAGGCTCTTAACTCACAGGCAGAGAGGAGCTGGGAAAGCAGCTGACCATGAAAATGCACTTGAATTCAGTTGATTCTTCTTGGAGGGTTTTCAATGGCAACTGAAATTGGCCCTTAGAGAACGAAACAGAAAATGTCCTTTTGTCCGGAGGGAGACCCAGGGAGACGTGTCACATAGCGTGAGCTGTTTTGAGGCAGTGATTCAAGTGCATCTACAGCTACTGATCTCATGAATATAAGAGGGTTGCATTATGCTTTAAAATAGCCAGGGCCGCTGTGAGGGAAAAAGCACAGTGTTGAGTCTGACATCACCGCTGGTCTTCAGACACCCCAGGTAGCTCGGCTCAAAAGAAAAGGGATTTAAATATAGAAGCTTGGGGAAAGGCAGCTTGCTGCCAGGAACAGTCACTGCTGCTAGGCCAGACCCCATCTCCAGGCGTCCTGGTCCTGGGCCTTGGGAAAGGCAGCGACTGAACTGAGGAGGCCCGGAGAGGGACAGGATTAAGTCGCAGTAAAATGATGTAGCCAGACAGAAGAAAGCCTTCATTCCGTTCAAAGCCACGATGGTGGCAGCCTCCAGGTACATATCTAAAAGGAACTGGGCACCAGTCTTTAGGGAATGAGCTTTCCACTGTGGCCTAGAAGGGAAACTGAATCCACACTCAATGCCATTGAAACTAAAAGCAGAGCTGTTTTTTTACAATAAAGGAGACAGAAACACAAGAGAAAAAAAAAAAAACACCAAGGTGAGGCCTCACATAAATAAAAAAAAACCTAATTTAGTTTTCTTAAGAAACAGAAAATAGGGAGGAGGGTGTCACGCAGTTGGGAGAGCACGCACAGAGCCTGGGCTCCACCCCCAGCACCACACAAACCAGAAGTGGTAGCAAGGACTTGCAGCCCCAGCGCTAGGGAGGTGGAGGTAGACAAATCAGAAGTTCAAGATATCATTGGCTACATTTGGATAGAGCGTAAATTCAAGGCTCGCCGGAGCCATGTGAGACCCTGTTTCGAAAACAAACAACCAAACATGAAATAAAGCAAAATAACCCATTTGTATACTTCCTAATTGAGTAATTCATGGGTAAAGAATATTGAATGTGCTCAATAAAGACCACAACTATACTTTGGTGCCTTGTCAAGTTGTGAAAGAGACTAATGGGGAAAAGTAAAGGAGAAAGCTGGAAGTAGAATCGTGTATAAGATCCCCATGACTGTATTTACAATGCGCCCCTCCCCTGCTGCCCTTAACATCTTAGTCTCAAGTCTAACTGTCCACATGGCTTCATGACAGTGCTCAGTGGCCAAGAAGCTTGCTAGGGGATGTTTTGTCTGGGGTCTGCATGACTCAGGTCACGAGGGTCTGAAGAAGTGACAGGCAGAAGAGCCCTCTGTAGGGCAGAGCTGGGGCGGTCAACCTGGATGAGCATCCGAATCTTCTGGAAAGGACTCTCCCTTTCCCTCCCTCCCCCACCTCTCTCTTTCCCCCCACCCCGAGAGTGTACATTGTGGGGTTCACACACACTTGGATGTATGTGCTTGTGGAGGCCAGGAGTTGGCATCTAGTATCTTCCTCAATCGCTCTCCGCCTTGCTTTCTGAGATAAGGTCGCTCGCTGGACTGGAGCTCACCAATTGGCTGGACTGCTTGTCAGTGAGTTCTAGGGATCCGCTCCCCAGGACTGGGTCTGCAGACACACATCCCCTTGCCCAGCTTTTTACATGATTGCCGGGAATCCTCATGCTTGTGTGGCAAGCTGAACCATCTCCCTAGCCCCCGGAAATCTTTTGAAAGACACCGACTGCTCCCCAGGTCCCGCTGCAAACGGAGGATAAAGGTCTGCTTCTGGCTTAATCCAAGGTCCCTCAGCATCACCATTGCTAACATTTCCCTTGGATAATTCCATGCTGTGGCAGGCTTTCTTGTGAAATGAGGGTTTTAGTACAACCCCTAGCCTCTAGGCATTGCCCAGGGACTCCAGGAGAGAGATCCACACGCCAAGATTATTGACTGGTTATTTGCTAAGTATGCATGGCCCCCACTTCAGGAACAATACTGAGCCTGGGTCTCAGTTACCCCAACTGCCTAATTGGCTCAGGGCTTACGTGCTGTTTATCTTGAGAATCCATCATCCTTTACTTCCTAATGCTGTCCCAGCATCCTTTATCTGCTGAAATGGCTTGCTAAAGGTCAGGGAAATGTTTGGCCCAGATTCAGAATGTGGGGAAGATAGGCAGTCATAGGCCCCTGCATGCCCTGTGGGGAGACACCCACCTTTTCCACCAGTTCACAGACTGTCTCCTTCACAGACAAGAACTGCTCCTACTTCAGGCATTTCAACCCAGGAGAGAGCTCAGAGATCTTTGAATTCACCACTCAGAAAGGTGAGGCCCTGGAAGGCAGGGGCGGCGGGAAGCCACTTCCGTCACCAACTGCTGGGTTAGGAGTCACTGGCAGAGACGTGCTGACTCCCGCTAGGGATGGAAAGCAGCTGGAGGCTGGTACCCTGTCGCATCCCCTGCACACACAAGCAGTTCTGGGTCCAGGTACTCAGCGCACACATGTTGGTGTAGACTTGCTGGCAGGCTGTGAGCTGCCGCAGGAACATGTTCCAGCCCGCAGAGCCAGAAGAAGAAGGAAGTGGTACAGCTCACAGTGCTGGAGCAGGACCATGGGGTGGGTGGGTGAGAGTCTCTGTGGCGACAGTTGGTTGTCCTCCCCTCCTTTACTAACAGTCCTCCCGGAGCTGAGGACACATGGTATTCCTGCCCTTCACCAACGGAACTCAGAGACCACATCAGCAGGAAGGGCCTGGGCTGTGTGGGAGCAGGTGGCCACACAGGGTACCAGAGCTTACACAGACACACACATGCTAGAAGACCCTCACATGTAGTCACGTGCACACACCAACAGGTCCTCAGGCACAAGGCACACATACACACTGACAGCCTTAATGCAGGAACACGCATGCATGCACGCACTCACAGACAGATCCTCATATGTGAGGTATTTATAAGTGCTGACAGCCTCAGGAGAAAAGCACACACGAGCATCCTCATATGCCAGTAGATTCTCTCTCTCTCTCTCTCTCTCTCTCTCTCTCTCTCTCTCTCTCTCTCTCACACACACACACACACACACACACACACACACTTCTCACGTGCAGACACGGGCACATACTCTGATGGATTCTTAGGCAACCCACTCACATCCTCCTCACCCACACTCCCATGCTAGGTAACACCCACACCCTGTCAATCTCCCAGAGTCCCCCTGTCAATCTAAGACAGACCACCTACAGCTCAGTGCCTCCTTCCGTCTGTCACTCAGGAAGGCTTGGCTCTAGGGACATCTCTAGACGCAGGGTGTCCTGCCTCTTTTGGAGGTCTTTGCCTCAGGGAACCTTGCAGTTTTGCGCCTGGAAAGACACAGGTGATTCCATCCTGTTGGCACCTGGCCTCGCTCTTTCACAGCACCGAACTGGGAAGGGTAAGAAAGGGGGTGGGCCTCAGTCAGGTGTGAAATGAGAATCCAGGCTGTGGGAGCTCACTAAACCCCCTGACAGGAAGAAGTGCCCGGAAAGGCTCTGCTTCTGAGGCTCCCTTTGTTTTGCAGAGTACAGCATCTCAGCAGCGGCCATTGCCATCTTCAGCCTCGGCTTCATCATCGTGGGCTCCATCTGCGCGTTTCTATCCTTTGGGAATAAGCGTGATTATCTGCTGAGGCCAGCATCCATGTTCTATGCCTTTGCAGGTAGAGTGGGGTCCTGCGGTGCCTGGGTGTGAGGGGGAGTCCTTAGGGCTCCCCATTCCATGCTCAGGCTCCATGCAGGATCAAAATCTGAACACTGGTGATCCCGGGAAGGATGCGAGGGAGAAAGCTTGCTTTGTTTCTTCCCCCCCCCCCCCCCCCCACAATGACACTACGCTTAGGAGAAACACTGAGGAACCGCCCCAGAAAGCAATTAACAAAGAAGGAAGGAAATGTGGCCAGTCTCTGGCTAACCTCCTGCAGGACGTGGGAAGTGCATTGTGGGAAGTGGCAGACATGGATCATTTTTGCAGATTCCCAGTTAGAACCATCTAGAAGCATTTTCCTCTCAGGACCAGGTCAATGGCAGGGAACAGAGGTTGGGGGAGGACTGTGGTGGCAGCGGGAGCACTATCAGTCACTGAGACTCCTGGCTTTGTCCCCAGGGCTCTGCCTTATTGTCTCTGTGGAGGTCATGAGGCAATCGGTGAAGCGCATGATTGACAGCGAGGACACCGTCTGGATCGAGTACTACTACTCATGGTCCTTCGCCTGTGCCTGCGCTGCGTTCACCCTGCTCTTCCTCGGTGGGCTGTTCCTTCTGCTCTTCTCCCTGCCTCGGATGCCCCAGAACCCCTGGGAGTCCTGCATGGATGCTGAGCCAGAACACTAGCTTTGGGAAGATCGAGCCCAGACCGGAGTCTCCCAGAGGCGAGGAAGGCGTTTTACATCTGCCCTGGTCCCTTGACTGTCATGCCTCTTCCTCTGAGTTCCCCTGCACAGGGACATGAACGGAGACCTGCCCGGCATCAGAGGAAGCAGGCAGGTGTTTGAAGGGGCTCTTTCTTACGCCTGCCCCAGTTCAGGCTTGCCTGCCATGCCTGTTGTCTTTGAAGAACTGGTCTGGTTTTCTTTAGAAACCTCCCAAGGACAGCCTGTACTCATTCACCAGGCCTGAGCTTCAACAGCGCCAGCGTCCGGAGCCAGCTCCTCCCCCACTCTCCTCTACCATGATATAAAATCCTCTTCCGTGACCCGAACATCCCTCCTTGGCTTCCAAGATCCCCAACAGACATTTTTAACTGGATAGAATCTGTGGTTTGAAATAAAAGATCTCAGGAAAAAAACTTTCCTTTTTCTCTTGTGCCTTGCATACCAATTGCTGAGACTCCTGGCCATAGGCCTGGCACCCTAAACCCTGGAAGAGAAAAGGTAGGATTATCCCTCCGTGGTGGCGGTTCTCACCCTGTGTGGTCACAACCCATTTGGGTGTCACCTTTCAGATAACCTGAATATCAGATACTTACATCATGATTCCTAACAGTAGCAAAATTACACTTATGAAGTAGCAACAAATACAATTGTATGGTTGTGGGGGGTCACCGCAACATGAGGGACTGCATTAAAGGGTCGTCGCAGCATTAGAAAAGTAGAGGCCCACTGCCTGGGCACTGAGGACTTTGAGAAGCGAGGTGGGGATAGCTTAGAGGTTCTGAATTCCAACTCGAATGTCTGAGCTCTGGAATTGTTTGGAATGAAACTAGAAACCTTGTGACTTGGGCAAGGGTGTTAAAAATAGGAGGGGTTATTTCTAGAATCATCCAGCCCCTCTCAGCACTGAAGCTCCACGGTCTCAGTCTAGCTTTTGAAGCCAGAATCTTGTTGGAAAAACAGAAAACAAACAAACAAACCAACAAAAAACAAAACCAAACCTAAGAAGCAGGGCTTCACAGACACTTAGCACCCACGCATACGTGGCACCATGGTTTAAACACTCCTCAGAACCCTGCTGCACTGAACCTGGCCTCCAGAAACAGAAGCCAGGCTTGACTGGCCGACAGGGAGGACTCTCTGCAGTCCCTGCAGTGAACACTGGAGTCCCGCATGGAGCTGGCAGAGTTGCCAGGGGGCACATAACTTCTTGTGCAGCCTGCAACACAGGGGTGGTTTTTACAGCTCGACAGACATCACAAAAACTTGCCATGCATGTGAAGAGTATCTCATGACATGAAAAGTGGATGCCATTTGAATCTCGGTGTCCATAAATAAGTCTTATCGGCACACAGCCACACCTGTTCCCGTGGGTGTTCGGTGCGGCTGCTGTCCTCACAGCAGCACTGACAAGCCTCAGGAGAAAGATTTTTGCCTGCAATGTAAATAATATTTACTTTCCTACTAGACCTGGTGGCACATGCCAGCAATCCCAGCACTCAGGAAGCTGAGGCAGGAGGTTCTCTCTCCACCTTATTCCCTGGACACAGACACATTCGTCACTTCTTACTGCTGTGACAAACAGCATGGCTTACAGTGATTTATGGAAGAGTTTATTTTGGCTTATAGTTCCAAAGAAAGAGCCCATCATGGCAGGAGAGGGGGAAAGGGCGCGCGGGGGGGGGGGGGGGGGGGGGAGGCCGGGGAGGCGGGGCAGCAGTCAAGCACGGTAGCTGGAGCAGAAAACTGAACAATCACCTTTTCAACCCCAAACACAAAGCAGAGAGGGCAAACTGGAAGTGTTGTGGAATAACCTTTTTAGTACATTATGAAGATGTATCTCTGCTAAGGCGCCTTCTGATTGGTTGGATAAAGAGCTGAACGGCCAATAGCTAGGCAGGAGAGGATAGGCGGGACTTCTGTGGAAAGAGAGGAACTAGGGGGAAGAATCTGAGAGGAGGGGAATTTGCCAGCCTGACACGGAGGAAGTGGGGTGTGTAGTACTGGGCAGAGGTAATGAGCCACGTGGCAGAACACAGATGAACTTAAATGGATTAATTTAAGATTTAAGAGCTAGTTGGGAACTATTCTCAACTAAGGCCAAGCTTTCATAATTAATAAGTCTTGGTGTCATTATTTGGGAGCTGGCGGTCCAAAGAAAGTCCAACTACATGGAAGCAGGGCAAGGTTAAAAACCCTCAAAGCCTGGCCCAGCAAGGCAAAGCTCTCAAAGGTTCCACTGTAGTGATAGTTTATTTGTGCTTTAACAAATAAAACCTACTAAAAGATCAGAGAGCAGAGATAGCCACACTAGTTAGCCATAGAGGCCAAGCACTCGGGAGACAGAGGCAGACTGATCTCTGTGAGTTCAAGGCCACCCTGGGATACACGAGGTTGACTCTAAAAAGAGAAGCAGAGCTCACAGAAAGGTGATCCCAGCACTTGGACTCCCACGCCTTTAATCCCAGCACTAGGGAGGTAGAGACAGCCCCTTCGAAGGACCCTATGATACCCTAGAGAGTCTCCCCAACCTGTGTGTCCTTTGTAGAATCTGCCTCCAAAGTCCTTCCTTCCATGTAACAGAATAGAAGGTCCTGGAGTTTAAGATACAGACATACACCATAGGTTCTAAGGGGAGGATGGAAACATTCCACAGGGGTCAATACTATGTCTACCACCATGATGGTCGATGTTGCATGCTATGTGTTGGGTATTGTGTAAGCCACCATCATGGTCGATGCTGCGTGCTAAGTGTTGGGTACTGTGTGAGCCACCATGGTGGTCGATGTCGCGTGCTATGTGTTGGGTACTGTGTGAGTGAGGGCACAGAGGGAGAGGCTATTTCTTTGTCTTTCAATGCTGAGTGGCTATAAGTAAAGTCTACGTTCTCTGAGGTTTGCAAGCATTCTATGGGCACTCAGAGGGTCATGAGGAGGGCACCTCTGAAGCTTACAGAAGTCCTGCTTATTTGGAGTCAGATCAGACCACATGAGGTGACATTTTCCAATCTCCCATGGGACATCCATGCCTCTCTCCTTCTGCTCTTGGTGCCCCATCCATATCCTTACATTTAACCTATCTTGGCACAGTTCGGCCAAGTACCTGATTTTACAGATCTTTGAAGCTAAAGCCCATATTTTCTTCAGAATCACTGCAGTAGCTAGACCCTCCCTACACCAGTCATTTCCCCAATCCTGCAGTGTCCAGATAGCCTGTAAGCCTAGTCTGTGAACTAGAATGCGCAGTCCACAAGGGAAACCAGGTAAGGCACAACTATGCAAGAACGCCATGAGAGAGAGTAACAGGACACAGTCCTTTGAAGCAAGGAAAGAGTGTGAAAGGGCACCTTCCTGCTCCAGGTCTCCAGTCTCAGCTGTCTCTATCTCCACAGTGGATTCTACACACACACACACACACACACACACACACACACACACACACACACACTTAAGTCCAATTAATAAGACCGAGCCAGTTGCATTCTCCACAGTGGAACTTAGGGCTCCAAAGATACAAGATAGAATTCATAGAATTCTTTTCCAAGCTGAAGCACGCCAGTTGAAGCCTTCAGTACAGACGGATTTCCCAAGAGCATTGACCGAGGTACAAAGCCAAAGCCACCTTTAATTATACTAAATCACAATCTTCTTCTTCTTCTTCTTCTTCTTCTTCTTCTTCTTCTTCTTCTTCTTCTTCTTCTTCTTCTTCCTCGAAACAATTGATCCTCCACCCTGTTGCTAAGCCAACCCAACAGGAATCATTTTGTTCCTAGATTGCATGTAGGTTCACCTTGAATTGGTCAGCTTTCCATTCCTATAATAAATATCTTGGACAAATCAACTGATAAAGAGGAAAGTATTTTGGGGCACAGTTTTGGAGGCTTCACATGGCTGATTATCTCCTTCACTTTAGACCTGTGGGGGAACAACACATCAGGTCAGGTTCATTCACCTCCTTAGGGTCCCATAATCCCCTTCAATGTTGTACTCCCAGGGACCTAAAGACTCAACTTGGTCCCATTTCTTAAAGGGTCCACCACTCTCAATTGTACCATAGGCTTGGGACTGTGCCATTAGCCCATGGGTCTATGGGACATACTTGTCTAGACCTAACACCTTCAGAAACAGAGGTGGCCACAAGCTAAGGTCTAACTGATGACTACTTTCCAGTCATCTGTGACTTTGTCCCAGGTTATGGAACCTTGCTTTAAACGTGGTTACAGAATTAGGGAGACTGAATCTACAAGATCATGTCTTGGAAAAGCCCTCGGGCTAGAGCAATCACTCCTGGTTAGCCTTATGAAACATCAGGAACAAAGATAACACCCCTTCTCCTGTGACTTTATTTCTCTTTGAGTTCACCTGACTCCATGTATAGAAAACAAAGCTTGCTGGGCATTATGGCGCATGGTTTATAAAACCCAGCATCTGGGAGACTGAGTCAGGGACACAAGAGTTTGAGGGCTAGTTTGGGCTACATAGCAAGACCATGAGAGGGAGAGGGAGAGAGGAGGGGAGAGGGGGAGAGAGAGGAAGAACATTTTCAGTACTAATTGGAACATTTCTGGAGTCCTGTGCAAGGTCTCTGACCCATATTCTTAGGCACCCACCCACATCCAGACAGCTTGTCATCTGCCTGTCTTTTTAATTGGGGAGCAAACACCACCAAGTTGCCTTCTCCTCCGGTTCCGTGTGATCAGCCAGCCAGATCCACCCTCAGAGTCCATCGCGGGCTCCTCGGCATCAGCTCCCCACATTTAGCCCATGCTGGGGGATTAGCAACTATCTCCTGAAAATGTTTAAATCGATTGGTAGAGCATCAGGTTTAATGAGCCGAGGGTGGGCTTAGACCGTAGGTTTTACAAGCTGCAGCTTCTAGCCAAGTTAATTCCCTCCCTCTGTGGATTCCACATCAACCAGAGCTGCAGATAAAGGGGGGATTTCAGCCCATTTTCAGAGCTCTGCATGATCATGATAGGTATGTACCACAGGCCCATAGACCAGGCTATCCATTAAAATTAGCATAACCGCTGGGCGGTGGGGCACACACCTTTAATCCCAGCACTCGGGAGGCAGAGGCAGGTGGATGTCTGTGAGTTTGAGTCCAGCCTGGTCTATAAGAGCTAGTTCCAGGACAGGCTCTAAAGCTATAGAGAAACCCTGTCTCAAACACCCAAAATAATAATAATAACAATAACAATAATATAGATAAATAAATAATAAAAATATTAAAAATTGGTATAACCACAGTGAAACTGTAAAAGAAAATGTTTTGGACACCCAGTATGATAGAAAATGGCTTGGGGAACTAACCACTGCTGTCACCACTCAAAGCTGCGTGGAGCAAGTAAG